TCCGGGGGGAAAAGGATTCTCTCGTGTTATTAAGATAATTCGGAAAGGCCCTCCTTCCGGGCATGGACAGGGAGAGGGACCTGGTAAACGCAGACGTTTTCTTTGCAACCACGGGGATGGGGGGGAAGCCAATAGTAATCCCTTATTCGTCCTTTGGGAAACGGATATCTCTTCAAATAAGAGTTTCGAGAACATTTAAACGGCTGAACCATGGAAAAGTAGGAAGTTATGTCCATTCCATCCCAGATAAGAAAATTCTGGTCAATGATGGCAGAAATGCTTCAAAAATCTGTATTTCAAAATTTCCTAAGACTGCTTTTAATATTAACAGCCAAAGGACAGTTTTCCATAAAACTATGGCCTTTATGAACTCCAAAACGAAGTAGGAGATTGGAATTGACTTAGAAACCAAAACCGTACTTCCAGATTGCCTTGTTCTCCTTGGATATCACCCATATCACCAGGAGGCAAGTGATTCAGATTGGAGTATCTAACAGATCAGAGCCCAGGAAATACGGGGACTCAAAATAATAAAACAAGTCAAAGCTAATTTCAAAACATTACAATCCAATCAATCATGCATTTCCTAAAAGTCACAGTGGGGTTTTAAATTATTGGAAATAAAATTAGACCTAAATCCCTAGATTAATGTTTTACCCCTGTTTGGTCCCTAGTAGTTGTTTTCTAAAATTGAGAGTTCTACTGCTTAGAAGGGATCGACTTGGTAGGCAAAAAGAAGTAACTGAATGCAAACATCTATTTTCTGACTCTTTCATAATCAAAAGAATACGCATCATTAAAAATTGAAGTAGCCCAGCGGTTCTTGGCCAAAATAACAATGCTACCTCCTTGGGTTCTGTCTGACTTTTATAGCACTTTATCTCTGAGAAGACTATGGTGCCCATTTCCACCAAGTAACAAAGAATAAAAACAAAATATTCAGCAATAAATCGGAGGATACTTCAAAAAGTTCATTAATAGTAGAATTAAAAGATAAGTTTATTGGGGGCAGGTGTTGAGGGCAGCGGGGTGAGGAGCCACTTGGGATGCCCACATACCTTAGTGTAGTGCTGATTCAATCCTGGCTACTCCGCTTCCCACCCTGCTCCATGCTAATGTGCCTGAGAAGCAGCAGATGATGGCTCAAGTATTTGAGTACCTATTGCCCACTTGGGAGAGCAGGATGGAGCTGCTGGCTCCTAGCTTCTGCCTGGTCCAGTCCAGGCTTTTATGTTCATTTGGGGAGTGAAACAGCAGATGGAAGATCGATCTGTCTCTTTCTGACATTGCCTTTCAAATAAATAAATAAATCTCAACTTTGGAGATTTCACATTTCAGCCAAGGCCAGAATACAGAGACGAAAGATCAATTATACTCCAAAATACCAAAGATGCTTGTACTTATTAAAGGAGCTTGTAACAGTGGGTATAGTTTATCCCAATTGACTACAAAATTAAACCTTTAATAAATTCTGTTTTTTCACATTTAAAATGAGAAAACAACCCATATTCCTAGTGGCTTGATTTATTTCAACACATTACATGACCAAGTCATATTTTCATCAAAAATTCCTTAATAAGATCTATGCTAAGTCTATAGCAGAATTTGCTAATAAGCTGTATTGCACCATATGGTCTCCCTGATCTGTGGTAACTAATAGAGAACCTAAAAAGTAATCTACAGAAGTGAAATTGACACTTTGAGATGTGCCGATTTTGAACAGCTCTTGTCTCAACTCTTAAGGAAGAGTTATTTTTTTTCCTTTTAGTTTATTTATTTATTTTACTACCTGTTGAACTCTTTGCCTAGTTTAGGGCTAATCTTATGAGTTTAAACCTAATTGAAGATAGATCTTTGTAAAAAAAAATAAGAATGGGAATAGGAGAGAGAGAAGGAAGAAGGTTGAGTGCAGGTGAGAGGGAGGGAGGGTAGAGTGGGTAGAATCACTAAGTTCCTAAATTTGTATATATCAAATACATGAAGTTTGTATACCTTAAATAAAAGGTTTCTAGGTAATAAATAATTAAATATATAAATAGAAAGTAGAAAGATAAAAAAATAAGCTCTATTGTTAGATCCATAATGACATAAAAATTTTCACTATATCTCATTTAATTTTGTACAATGGGTATTTTATTATATTATAGCTCTAAATGTTCAATGTACTGTATACAATTTTCAAGTAATCACAAAATATATCTACTGGTAACATCTCAGTTTTAGTACACAGTTCTCAAAAAGGTTTTATTAGCAAGGAAAATTAAAAAGAGACAAATTAGAATATTCCCCCTTGATTGTTTCTGTCTGCCACATTATATGCAAACAGAAAAAAAAAGAGATGCTACAATGTAGCAAAAGCTTCTAGAAAATCATCAAAAATTTCAATTCTGATGTTCTAGGACTATTCAAAGATTATTTATTCAGTTAAAACACAGAATATTTTTGTGTGAGCATTATTCCTTCTATAAATGTTCAGAAATGCATTTCAAACAATAACTACTTTATTAATTTCAAATCAAGCTGTCATTCAACCGCAAGAACACATCCTTTGTTTAGTCTGACTTATAATACTTATCAACTCCTTTCCTGCTAAAGGCTTTTTCCTCCCAGTTTTTGTAAGACAAATAAAGAGGCTTTTGGAAAATATCTAGATGCAATCCTCCTTGGGCTATGATGCAACACAGAGAATATTAGTCAACTAAAAAGAAATGTCTTTATAATGTTAAGGGGCACTGTAGGCTAATGAAATATTCACAATTTCAGAAAATTTCTAAGAAGACATATTCTATTCCAAATAGTCTCCCTTTGGGGAAAGATAACTGAAAGAATTCTAATTTCATATCCACACAAAAAGTAAAATAATAAGTCTAACTATAAATTACACTTAAAATCATTCATTTAATGTGTTATTTTTAATGTGTTACTCTAAGTTTATAGAGGTATTAAATGATTTGTGAGAAAAAGCAAAAAAAAAAAAACAAAGTTGGTATACATTTTAAAATCTGTAAATAGAACTTTTTTTGAAAATACGATTTTGGGTAAAACATAATAAGCTAATATGTTCTTAGAAAAAACCTTTTTAAAGTGGAAGTAAAGAACAAACTAAGAGCATGATTCAAATAAAAATATATTGCTTTAACTTTACATTTTTACTTGCATGAGGTGTCTTCACAATGTTCATAAAAATGATTACTATGAAAAAACAGATTCCAAAAGTTTTTGTACCCAAATAAACTCTCTTTTAATTTCATTTTTTCCACAAATTTTCTGAAGCACCTTCATAAATATACTTGCTGTGTCATTCTGACATCACTTTAAGAAAAGTTGGTCTGACATGTTTTCTTGCAATTTTATGTTTCTTCAGATATTTTGATCTTACATTGCCTAAGCATTATGTCAAAGGAGATTAAAAAATTAAGGACTAAAACTGAGTCCATGTAAGAAAATTTTTATGTGTTACTTTTTATGGGCTTTTTTGTTTTATTTGCAATGGAAAAGCAGATGAGATTATTTGGGGTAGTGTAGCACATGTGTGACTGTTTTGGGGCTTTTTTATGTGTGTGCTTTGCTTTTGTCAGTTTATTCTTAGAGTATTCTTTCACCAAAGTCACAGTTATAATTAAAATTCTTGTAATAACTAAAAACTAGAAATTCTTCCTTGTACTAGTTTTATATTATTTTCTCATGAGAACAAAACACTGCTCCTAAATCAAAAACAAAATGCTGTATGTTCAGATTTTGGAGCAACAATACTATCAAGACAGCCAAGTTATTAAAGCCCATTTTCAGATCTGGAACAACTTCTGAAAATAAAGAGAGCATTTGGCATACCTTATACTAAAGAAAAAGTGCAATTTTCATTATTTCCTGATTCTGGAGATCCAATAAAAACCTTATGGAATAAAAACTCTTGCAAAAATCCTTCAGGGAAAACATAACCAACAGCCACCCCACTTTTAAAGTAATGAACGTTGATAAACTATAATAAGAGTATGGAAATTTTTACTTTTTCTTCGAAGCTTAACAGAAAAGATCAAAAGGTATTTTTGGCGTTTCAAACAGTAATGACCTACGGCACCTAAAAGATACACATATAAAATATGTACGTTAATTTTTAAAGAAACAGCAACAAAAATTAAAACATTGATGAATAGGTAAATACTGATGACGCCAATATAGAAGTATTTGCCACTGCAAAGGGCCTAAACACAATCACATCTTGTCCCAATCATACCTGCCTGCCAGAACAAAATAGGCAGCTGACCAGTTATGGGGCGTTTATCTATACAGTGGAGCCTTTGTTCTCCAACAATGTCAGATTGCAAACGTCCTGGAACACATATTTACCTGGAGGATTCTTGGCAGGATCATTGTGGCTTGGACTTCCTGATTGTCCAGAATCTGTAAAGAAATCACAGAAAATGTTTTCTTTTTAATTTGGTTGAAACAATTTCACAATCCTCAGAAGGACTTTAAAAATGTTTAAGATACAACAGTGAAGTTGAGTGTTTCAATAAAGTATACTTCCCAAGCCTTTCAATCGCAATATTTTATTCATCAAACTAGATGGATGTCTATAACATTTCTATGTCAGAAGAAAAAAAAAAAACAAGTATTGCTCTATCACATTTTGAGCTAAAAGCAAGACATTTCTGAAGCAAAAGATCTGGCTACAAATCCAGTAAAGATGGTGGGAAGGTTAGGCAAATATCAAGGCCTATCAGAAGTAGTATGAAATAATGCAGATACATTCCCTTCAAAAACGCAATCCGAGTGTAATTAAACAAGCTTTTAAAAACCCAAAAATAGTTTTTTATTCAATGAGTAAAATACACAGGAAAGAAAGCCCACTATTCCAGGATTTCACATGCATGTACACATCCCCACTCCAATAATCCCCAACCTCCTGGATCCTGGCCCAGATTTGACTACATCCCATAATAGCAATCGATTTGCAGGCACCAAGAAAAGGCATAAATTACAAGGTAGAAACCAACATGGCTTTGTGGAGAGCAAATTGTTGGATCAATTTAATTTTCATCTGTGATAGATGGATAGACTCTTCAGATAAGGAGCAAGAAAAGAATATAGTATACATGAATTTCCTATGCCACATTATTCCTCATTGATGCTACAGAAACAAATGTGGAAGATACATGAGCACAACTGTTAGCCAACATGCCTCTCCTGACAAAGCCGACACTGTTGTATTTTGCTCACTCCCCCATGTCCCCTCTGCGTGTATCTGTCATTTGCCCCATATTATTACACATTTTCTTGTACATTGCTTTGTCATCTTCTTTTATTGGTTTTAGCATTTAAATTTTGTCTCCCCAACTAAATTGCAAGCTCCTACGCGGAGGCAGAGAGACACACTTCTTTTGTGTCTTCCTCAGTATGCCATTCGTGGCTGCGAATGCACTAGGCATGCAGTAAATGCCAGACGAACGGATGGCTCAGATTCAACAGACTTCCTCTCTTGTTAGAGAAGGCAATTTTGGACTTGAGAGTGACTTTCAATAAAATTTGATAGGTGGAGCACAGATGACACTCTGTCATGGACTGCCACGGATTGCTCAGAACCTGACCATGACACTAAAGCCAAGCAAAGGACTGAGTCTTGGTAATGCATAAAAATTATATGCTGGCTTTCTCATCAGGTTTATTCTGTTCTTCCAGGTAAGTGATTAACATACTGCAATTGCTGCTTCTACCATTAAATGCAAGAACATCCTGTTAGTTTCTTCCTGCATATAACTTGGTTATTTATTTCTGCCCTTTGCCTCATGCCTGCTAGCTTAGATTTAACATTGAGATTAGAATTTTACCATTGCCACCCCACTCTTGTGCCTTTTTCTTTTTGTTCTAGAACAGATTTCATGAAATCTTAAAGAAGTTTAATGCTTTCCATATATCCTCCAACTTCTTCCTGGCTTTCCAAAATGAAAGTAAACTGGAAATCTACCCTTGCAGTCTGGATTCTGCCTTGAGTCCCCTGCAAGTCAATGAGAGCTGAGAGCTGGGTATTCTCTCAGCTCTCATGAACTCTTCTATTACTTTTTCTGAAATCAAGGCAAGACTTAGTGCCTCAAAGGATGTATGTTCCCCTTCTACATTCCTATAAGAAATGATACAACACTGGCTACTCTCAAGGCCAGAATATGACACAAAAATAATAAATTGTATTATTTTGCTACAAGCCTTAGCTATTTCTGCTTGGAGCTCTCTGACAAATGTTTCTCACAGTTAATACCGCATTCCAATTTAATTTCTTAAGAGATTCTGTCATGATGAGAGGTTCTACTTATGCCTCACACACCCACTAACCATACCATCCCTACTGTTTATTTTTCCCTTTAAAGCTACCTTACATTTATGAAGGTTTTGACATGTATTCTCCAAGGTAGTGAATGCCACCTTCATGATGACACAATGTGAGGCTACCTAATGCTCTCAACTGGAGACAAGTTGCAGGAGAAACTTCATTTCAGGAGTTGTAGACTCTCTGCATAAGTGTTGGCATATTTAGTGATATTACCTTCAAAACAGCACCATGATACTCTTTCCCATTATCTGTTCCTAAACTTGGGTCCAAAAGAGTAATGAAAGCCTCTCTTATTCCTTAAAAAGTCTTCAGCTAGAGCAATGGCATCCCCTGTTCCAGCATCTTACTGCAGAAACCCTATTTCTTCTACTGTAAATTACACTCTTTTCCCACTTCCAACAATAACTTCAACTGAAACAATATACTTATAAAACAAAACAAAAAAACCCACAAGCATTTCAGGGAAAGTTGAAGGGACCCTAAATTTGAGTCACACATTTGCTTTTCTGTAACAATTCCACTTTCTAAAATGATCTGGTGTTTACTGGCACCCAGTGACAAGCTTACACACCCCAAAGCCTGTGCCCCTTCATGAAAATAGTATATACTGCCTCCCCAAAACTCTTCTGCAGGCAAGCAACAGAACATTTACTTTGCAGGCTGTAAATCCTAACACTATAATCTACTCTTAACTCCTATGTCACCTTATATCGGTCACTTAATTCCAACTGCTGGAAAAGGAAGTAACCAGGGAGTTGCAATTGGCAGAGAAACCAAAAATGAACTGTTATTGTGGTTGACTTCAGAGAAGGAATTATTCAGACCACATCTAAACCCTTCCAATTCACCACCTAGGTCAAATTACTCTATACTCAAAAGTTTTATTGAACCACTTCCATCACTGTGTTCCACAGTTGCCTCTCCCTACCCAGTGTATGTATTTAATATGTTACAGTGAATCCTGGCTCTCCCTCACTAGTGGCGACATCTCCTGCAAAGTTACTTAATTCTTAACAGCCACAGTGTCTTGTTCTTGAAAACTGCAATAGTCCTATCTACTTCATAGAATCACTGCACAGATTATACTATATGAAGTCTGAAAGCACTGGGTCAGACAAACCCTACACTATCAATGATACTAAGCATAGACCCACATCCAAAAATGATTAGCATTTTTAATGGACTAACACTCAAAAAGAGAGAAAAGGGACATGATGAATTCTGTCCATCCCAGTGCAAATATCTAAAACTGTCTGTGGTAGATCTATTGAACTGGGGGACTGCTGTGTGCCCACCTGAGAATTCCTAAGTAAATACTTTTGGGAGGAAAGCATAGCTGCTTCAAGGCTCTCAGGAGCTGGCCACGCTTAGAAGGCAGTAGAGGAAAACTACATTCTAGGAGACCAAAGCCTCTAGCGAGAAAGCTAATAATAGTGGTTGTGAGATGCCGAGCACACTAGGTCTGGAGAGATTCTGAAGTGGTGGAGAAAAAGAGAGGTGAATGATCTTGAAGGTGGCAGACCAAAACCAGTACTCCCTACTGCCTCTACTCTTCATATTTGCTTCTTTAATCTCAATCAGTATTGCCTATATTTCTGTGCTTTTCTCCTTCTGAACTGACTGGAGATACTGGTGCATGGAAAGAGATTTTAGACTGCATGCTAAAGAAAATCTCCTATTCCCCAAACTTCAGTTATTAAAAGTATGAATTAAATATACAAGGGTACTTCAACAAGTCTGTGGAGAACAGAGTTAACAGCTAAATTTATCTTTGTGCAAACATTTTTGAAGTCCATGCATCCAACAGGTCTTCATGGGAAATGCATATTAAAAAAATCATGCACAAATTTCAAAATTTTTACACCCAAATTTATCTTTTGATAACATTTCACCTGAACTCTCTGAAATACATTCATATACTGATTCTTCTAGGAAGGAAAATAATTAAAAAGCCATTTCTAAATTACTACTTTTAACTCAATCAGTTCATTTTTCCCCAGAATAGATTCTCCTGAAATAAGAACCTCTCTCATCCCTGCATGAACCATGCCAACTTCTCTTCAATCCTTTTTCTTCATTCCTTTTAAAAAAGCAGTCAATCTTATGGCTCTTCTAGTATCTAAACCTTACTAATGGAATGCCCAAGCTTCTCAAGTGACTCCATTTTATGAAATATCCTGATACTTAAGTGATCTAAATGGTGCATCCAAAGTATCATGGCAAGTATTAAAACTTTGTTCTCCATACAGGTCACCTGTTTGGACACACTACTTCTCAGGTATATGATGCAATGCTAAGATCATGGAAAGCCAAATGATCTTTCAGTAGATAAATGCTTCTGGGAACTTTGCCTTCCTCTAACTTCCCTCCTCCTTCCCATCATTTACCAGTGCTTTCAAAGTATTTTTCAGAATTTTAGAAACCTTTTTTAAAACTTATTCTAAGCAAGAAAAAAGTATTATTGCCATTAAATCCTATACACAAATGGGTACATTAAAGAGAGACTAATTCTAAGTCAAATTTCATTTAGAGTCTCTCTGCTAAATAAAAGGAATTTCAATGTTTTATGGATAACTGGGTGGAAGTCCAAGAAAATGCTTGCTCAAAATATATTATAATAAATAAATAATCGCCAGTTAAATATTTGTTTCTGAGTACTAACTTTCTGGAGTGATAAACGGCAACTCTCAGAGGTGAGTAGATCATCACAATTGTGAAAGTTTGTTTGAAGGTCATTTATGTAAGTGCCAATTAACTGCAAATCAACAAGGTTTATGAAGCATCTTCTATATTCCAAATGCTTTGTGATGTGTGAAACACGTAGGTACCCCATAATGCAAACTAAATTTCTTTTTAATTTATAATTGATGTATAGTTTATATTAATGATGTTTAAAATAGTTTTTTGGGGGTCCAGTACTGTGCATAGTTGGTAAAGACATAGTCTGTGGTGCCAGTATTCCATATGGATGCCATTTCAAGTCCTGGCTGCTCCACTTCTGATCAAGCTCCCTGTTAATGGCCTGGTAAAGGCAGCAGAGGATGGCCCAAGTGCTTGGGTCCCTGCACCCACTGTG